TGTGTGTGTGTGTGTGTGTGTGTGTGTGTGTGTGTGTGTGTGTGTGTGTGTGTGTGTGTGTGTGTGTGTGTGTGTGGTGTCACATAATTTGTATTGCAAAAATGTAATAAAGTATTTAAAAAATTCTTATTGCAAATATATAATGAAATCACATGGAATAATGCTGGTATAGTGACGATCAATCGATATCGAATTTTTTTTCTGAAGTAAATCATTTTAAAAAATTGAATCTTATCTAGAATCCCGAAGATAACAATATAGCAACGTATTTCGTTATTTCAAAGGATGTCGCACGTATGAGTAGTATGTATTTGAAGTAAATCATGTCATCCTCCGATTCAATCGTTCAGAAAAATACTTGTGCAATAATAGAAACTGATAACAAACTACAATTTCCTGAAATAATCGATGACAAGATAGACACCGATAATTTCTTGCAGGCCGCTCGCGATGTCGTGCGAACAGTTGGTATGTACCTATTTTCGATCTTAACCTCAAATGTTACCCAAGGAACTAAAATCAAATCGCTGTTGTATAATCACGAAGTAATCTTGTTTTAAATACAATATGACGTATGACAGAAACAAATTTATATTTCAGATAAATTTGGCAAATTATTTGCACCCGTACGGCATGACATGCAAGGCAACATTGATGTAAGTTAAGCAAGAAGTAGTAAGTTCACAAGAACAATATTATTTATTAACAATCTCTATGGAACTTAAATTTTACATTCTTAAATTATTTACAGAAGCTTACTACTAGGTACTATATGGATAAAACAGCTAACTCGACCCTACAAGACATGATTTTGCTTGAAAAATCTACTGAAAAGGATCTCATTGCAGTTGATGCCTTAATGTGGTTACGAAGGTTATTAAACATATAATTGCAAATGTTGACATTTTCAGTTATTGGACAGAATTATAATAATTATTTAATATAGTTAATTATACACAATAATTATTTTTGTAAGTTTTTTATCTTTTGTAACAACTTTTTTCCAATGTTCATTCTTCGGAGCTAACATTAGTCATGCTTGGTCTATTTAAGTTATGTTAATTAAAGATACTAATTAATTTCAAGAAATCAAAATAATATAACTTGTATAAAAAAGAGAAAATATTACTAAGTATATTTTAATAATATTAAGTATATATTCTCTAATAAGAATAATCCAACTTGCTGATATAATATAAAAAAAATTGAATTAATATTTTTGACAGAATTTATAATTAAATGAATTCAATAGACCTGCCATCAACTCATTAGAGTTAATGTAGATGTTAATGAGAGTACATAATATTAAATTATCTATCAATTGTATATGAAATTATATTTATAAATTTATCACATGTTTCAAAGTCGAAGAATAATCAGTGCATAATTGAATGTATATAAAAAAATGTAAACGGAATTCACACAAAAATTATTATTAGTCTGAAACCCCAATGACTAAAAATGTAGATATTTATTTATTCTGTGCTGTATACATTATTGCTACTATTAAATCCACTAAGTTTTTTCAGATACATGCATTTGCATATAAAACATTTTTATTTAATGATTTTAAATATTTTAGAGCCTTACATCTGATTTTACTATTCTTTGAAAGAATCGTGGAGACACATAAAACTGGGGAAGCAACAGAAGATTTGGTTGCATTCCTGAGAGAAGCGTACAAAGAAACTTTAGAACCATATCATGGTTGGTTGGCCCAACAGTTGTTTAATGTAACTATATATTTTTCTATATATGCCTATAAATTAATAACAAAATTTACAAAAATTATAAGTGTTTAAATTGGTTTTGTTATAGCTCCTGTCACGTATGACACCTTCTCGTTCGCAACTCCTATTAGCATTAGCTGATGGAGAAATAGGGAGAGAAGAAATTACTTTAAGTAATATGGAATTATCCTTAATAAATTTAAGGAAAAATATAATAGCTTTAAAAACGTTTTATAATGATAATAATCTAGAAGTGACTACTGTAGTATAATATAAAATATGTTAGAGTTCAATATTATAAATTCAAAAATTACAATTTCAATATTATATCTTCTATTACTTAGTAATTATTAGTTATATTATTAACTAATTAGTTAGAAAATACTAGAACTATAGAAAATACTGTCTGAAAAGATATATAGATTACATTTAAAATTAAAGAAAGAAGAACAACGAAGCTAAGAAATGTTATGCATGTTTATTAGCATAAAATCATAAATTCTTATACCTATATTACATTTCTATAGATTCCAACCAAGTACAAAAATTAGTTTCTATTCAAATGTAACATATCATTTACATCATATTACATTGGCTGCGAGGCATCCGAGCGACATTTCCGAATGCAGTCATTAAGTCTTTTAGCATTATATTAATAATGCAATATTGTTAAATTGAAAGCAATAAAGTAATGTATATTACATTAATGTCTACTATCATCAATCCCATATAATTGTGCAACATAAAATCTTTTAGCATGATGGTCTGCCGACTTCTTTAAAGCTACAGTAGCTGATATAATTTCTGTAATGAGTAGAAACGCCATGATACTGTTAGTAATTGTTTCGCTAAAATGAGGTCTGGTTTTGTTATCGAAAAGAAGGAACATTTCTAAAGGAAAATGTATGAGAGTAGATATCAGCCAAAAGCTTGCCAATTCTGGAATCTGTATAGAGATTAAGAGAATACTTTCAATTCCCTAACAACAATTCGTCTAATTTATCTGTATATTTTATTGAAATAAATTACCTTCTCTGCTAGATTTCCAAGATATCCCAAATACAACCGTATACTTTCCAATACTGATATAATAATAAATACGGCTACAGTTATAAATTTGTATACATCTGTCAAGTAATAGTACTGTAAAATAAGAAATAATATCTGTATTTTTTGTCTGTCAAGTTTTGTAAAAAATTTCACTGTTTTGAATATTTACTTTTGCATCTAAATTGATAAGTATTACAAAAAACCATACGGGATACATCCATACATTAAAATACAGTGCCATTTGAAGGGGCAAATTGGATTGTATCTGATTTCCTGTATAAAATAATGAATGATAAAAATATATAAGAGAATATATAAATATGAAAAAAAGTAATGCAAAATTTAATTAAGTATTATTAAACTAGTCAAATTAGAAATTTTATTAAAGTTGTAACGAAAGTTTCAAAATTTATTAAAAATTTATTAAAAATTATACGCGTTTTACTATTATTAAAATTCAATAGTTAGTTTTGTAATAAAAAAATTCTTTGATTAATTTTAATATTATTATTGTGGCTTAAATCTTCAAACAATATATTAAAAATATCATTAATACAGTAATTATAAATTAATTTGTAATATTAAAATGAATGGCGACAATAGAGTTTTAGTAGAGTGACATAAATATTTACTATTATCGTTTCTCATGGCAACTGCTACCAATAACAATGCAGAACGCAAGATGCATACCTATATCATAAAATTCCTTTTTTCGATCGTGATATGCCAAACCGGGAAATAAACGATCTGACGCGGTGACAACTGATGTTTTCCACATCATTGCTTATAACGAAATTTTCACATTTGGAAAAACAACTGAGTTTAAATATACATTTAGAATTGAGTTTGTATTTTAATACCTCCCATAAACCAGTAGCGACGATTAATCACTGCTACCAGTGTTGCCAAAACTACAATTTCAAATGTAGTCATCTAACGGTATATTCATAAGATAATAATCATTATCTAATAAAATTCTAGATTTTTATTAGCTGA